CAGCACCTGGCTCGTTATGTGGAGCAGTACGTGGGGACTGAGGGTGCATCTAACTCACCTACTGAGGGTTTCCTGCTAAAGCCTGTGTTCCTGCAGAGGTGAGTCCAGGGCCACACATGTGCCACACACAGACCTGTCAGTGTCTGGTGTGCAGTGAGATATGGCATGGGGAGGGAATGCGGGAGGTGTCGGGGGTAGTCCCACCCCAACCCCAGAGAGCAGAAGGAGCAGCCGTCAATCTTGCTGGGAGAAGCTTCTGGAAGTGGAGAGTAGGGGAATGAGGTATCATGCATGCGGGGTGGTCACCATCACCTGGACCTCCGGAGCCCGCAAGTCCCCTCTCCGAGGCCCTGTCCCTGCAGGAACCTGAAGAAATTCCGCCGCTGGCAGTGTGAGCAAGTGCGTGCCCTGCGCGGTGAGGCCAAGAGCTCGTGGAAACGGCTTATGGGCGTGGAGAGTGCTTGCGATGTGGACTGCCGCTTCAGGCTGGGCACACACAAGATGGTGTTCATTGTCAACTCCGAGGACTACATGTATCGCCGGGGGACACTGTGCCGAGCCAAGCAGGTGCTGCATCCACACCCACCTACCTGAGCCCTGAGCCCATGAACCTCATACCTTGAGCCCCTAAGCCCCCACCCCAGCCCCAGGAGTTCACACACATCTCCCTCAGTTGCAGCCTCTGGTGTTCTTGCGCCACCACCGTCACTTTGAGGAGTGGCACAGCCGCTGGCTGGAGGACAATGTGACTGTGGCTGCTGCGGGGCTGGTGCAGGACTGGCTGATGGGTGAGGAGGAGGAGGACATGGTACCCTGCAAGACGCTCTGCGAGACTGCACACGTGCACGGGCTGCCGGTAACACGCTACCGCGTGCAATACAGCCGTCGCCCTGCCTCGCCTTGAGCATCAGGAAGAGGTCTCAGCACGTGAACCCCACCCTGACCCCACGTGTCATGCCCCAACTGGGCCTTTGTCACTTTGAGCCCGAGGTCATGCCTTGACCTCAAGCAAGAGCTTTAGCTCTAGCAGTGCAGACCAGACCTCGGGCAACGGCAGGGGCCGTCCCCACGAGGGCAGCCCCCTCCGCAAAGTTCTAGATGCTTATGCACAGTATTTATTCCTTCCTGCGCTCCCAGTGTTGTGACTTTTGCAGCAGCAGCTCACCTCGCTTCCCACGGGCGAGACCTCCCTGTGGACCCGCGAACCACCTGCTGTTCCCACAGTTGTCATCCACAGGCCCGTGTCGCTGTGCCAAACCCAAGGTTCTTGCTCTCTCAAGTTTCCTGAGCCGTTTTTTTGTTTTGTTTTGTTTTGTTTGAGCCGGGGCCTGGGCACTGGGGAGCAAATGTGCCTACCCAGGCCCGACTGCGTGCCTCACAAGGGACCCATGGCACCTTGAGCACATCCTAGTTTCCTAAGAAAGGTGTTGCTCGTGGGGACCCTGAGCCTCCATTTCCCAGCAAGGAGGTCAGGCACCTTCGCATGCTTCTGGGGAGCCTCTTAACGTTTTTGAGGGATTTCTGTTCCAGCTTTGACCTCCCTTTGCAGCTGTTTTGAATGTAGTTTTCTTTTTCTATTTATTTGCACATTAAAGTTAAATATTGTCGCCAAGCCTCAGGGTCTGCCCGTCATTTCCTACAAGAGTCTTGGCCAGGTTTTGCGTATGGCTGAGTCTCAAGTGGTGACAGCTGTCCACACCCAGAAGAGCAGAAAGTGACAGTAGCCCCCCCCCCAACCCGGGGCTGCTTTCTAGAATATTCTTCCCCAATTATCTTTTCACTTGCAATAGAGGCATCCCCTTCCCACACATGGGTTGTGCCTATACAAACCGCTTTGGGAGTGTGGATGGGACAGGGACTAAAGTCTCTGACAACCTGAGTTTGATCCCCAGGCCCCATGTGATAGAGGGAAAGAAGGAAGCCACATGCCAGGCACCAAACTACTTTAAAATGTAACAAATTTCTTTTAAAAAATTGTGCTGGTTATCTGAACATTGGTGGAACATATACGCCTATAATCCCAGCACTCCAGGCAGACACAGGCAGATCTCTGTGAATGAGACCCTATCTCAAAAAAACAAAAAGAACCTCTCCCCCCCCAAAAAAAAAAAATTCATATTGAGGGGCTAGAGCAATGGCTCAGTGGTTAAGGCTGCTCTTGCAGAGGACCCAGGTTCAATTCTTAGCATCTTCATCGCCTAACTCCAGTTTTCAGATGGTTCAACTCCCTCTTCTGATCTTGACAGGCACCAAGCAATCATGATGTCCATATATATGCTATGTGGTGTGTGTGTGTGTGTGTGTGTGTGTGTGTGTGTAGGTGTAGTATTATTAGGCCAGAAAGATGGCTCAGCAGGTAAAGCTCTTTGCCACCATGGCTGAAGTTCAACCTGGAACCACATGATGCAGTGAGAGAACCAACAGGTCCCCTCAAGTCCCCACTCACAGTAGGTCACACACCCCACACAAAGCAGTGGGGCATGAACCTAAAAGTTCAAGGTCATCCTGTACTACATACTGAGTAGTAGTCCAGTCTAAGCTATGAGAAGAAATATATGTCCATCTATCATGATTACTTATCTTCAGAATTCTCCTGACTTGTAGACTCTCCCCATACTCCTAATCAGCTGGTACCCACTATCCTACCTTCTGTCTTTATTAATGACCTTGGTGACTCTAGGATCTCATATATGTGAAATCCCAGACTCTGCTTATCTATAGTGGGCTTAGTTCACTCAACAGGAAGGCCTCAGTGTTCATCTATGTAGTGGATGTGCCTGAATGTCCTTCCTTGTTTAGGGTTGGAACATGGGACCTTCTCATACCTGACTTGGCATGGTCGTCTTCACAGGCAGCTCTGCACCTTCCCTTGCATGTCACAATGCTGTTCTTGTGGAGGGAATGTTAATGGGACTCCACATCTGCTCCTCCCCCCATGTCCTACCCAGGTGAAAGCATCCCTGTCCAGACACGGAAGCCTTGAGTGCAGATGGGTCACAATTTCAACACATAATTATCAGTCCTTCTTGTCCTGGTTGTCCCTCAGAAGCCTGGGGCCCTCGAACACCTCTGGCTGGGCATTCCACACCTCAGTTTCCCCTCCTGGTGCAGGGACTAAGCCAGAGGGACTGCTCACTCACATCCTGCTGGATTAGGGCTGGTGAGGCAGGAAATGGCCATGTTGGCTTCTTCCCTTCCATTCCCAATTGGTTTCATGTTCCCAGGCTTAGATCACCCATGCTGTGTTCTGCTGTTTCCAGAATCCAGCACACCCTCTGAGGCTAGTCCTGCTGCAGGACAGGATGGCAGAGGGGTCCTTGTAGGCAGACTTTCTTTTTATATTGCTTAGCATGTGATGTGGCCCTGAGCTACATCCCTCAGGCTTGTATGTATCTGCCTCCGTTTCTTCTTTCTCTTCCTTTTCTCCATACCTCCTTTCAGAAAGCTTTGCGTGTACAGGCGTGTGGAGGAGAGGCCCATGCCATGTCTTCCTCTAGCACTCTCCACCTTATTTTTGAGACAGGATCCTTCTGTGAAGCCACAGCTCACTGATGGGCCATGTGCATTGATCTCCACTTGCCAGCTGGGGGCTACAGGTGTGCTGTGCCATGCTCAGCTTTTACATGGGTGCAGTGTTCTCCCCACCATTTTTTGTGGACTGTTCCTCATCACATAACCCAGGCTTCCCTAGAAATTACTGCCTCAGCCTCCAAGTGATAGGGTGTTAGGTATGTCCACCACCTCATCTGAACAGTGGGTTCCTATTGAGCATTACCTGTGACAACTCCCCGGAGTGTCTAGGACACTGAGGCATCTCAGGGGCCCTCTGCAGAAGAGTGGCCATCTCCCTCACAAGTCACAGCTGGAACCATGAGGGCCAGTGGTCAGTGCCTCCAAGGGTCCCCAGACCCTGCCGTACAGCTGGTATTCAGAGTCAGGTCTGTAGAAGGGGACAGACACCCTCAGCTATCTCCACCTGACCCCAGAATAACATGGAGGCTTTAATTCTATACCTCACTTTACTCCAGGCCAGGGAAGGAGCTGGGATAAGGGAAGCATCTATATGGCAGGGGATCCCCATGAGAGGACTTGGTGTGCTCCAGTAAGCAACAATTGTTGGCGTGGCCTTTAGTTTTTGTTACACTATGTATGTATTTATTTACTTTGAGACAGGCTCTCACTATGTAGCCCTGGCTATCCTGGAACTCACTACATAGACCAGGCTATTCTTGAACTCAGAGATCCACCTGCCTCTGCTTCCTGGAATGCTGGGATTAAAGGTTTGCACGACCATTTATAGCCTAGTGTGTGTGTGTGTGTGTGTATACTTGTGTATAGGCACATGCACAGATGCCGAGGTGTACACACGGAGACCAAAGCATAGCTTATGGGAGTTCATTCTCTCCTTCCACCATGTGCATCCTGCAGATTGAACTCAGGCCATCATTTGCTCGCTGGCAAACAAATTCATCTTGCTGGCCCTTGTTGGCCTGCTCTGACAGAGCCAGGACTCCCTGGAATGGACCGTTGTCCTGCCAGCCACAGATAGGAAGTAGGGGGTGGCTTCAGGAAGGGCTAAGAGCCCCACATGGTGGTAACTTGGAGGAGGGCTGGACTGTCATCCAAACAGAAGTTGTGTGACTAGACAGCAGGAAGTGGCCACTTGGTCTACAGATGTTTCCTGGGCTGGGTAGGGTGAAGAGTGTTGTGGGAATGGGATGGGGGTGGGGTATAGCTGAAGTCCAGAATCCTCTTCTCCATCCTTGGCCCTGTTCTTTTGTGAGGCATCTTGGAAAAACAGAGAGACCTCCTATGCATACAAAAGAACCTCTCAAGGGCTCCAGGGTGAGCAAACAGACCCAGTGGGTCTGTGGGGGTAGGAACTCTGCTGTAGGGTTATCTTCCCAAGGTAGAGTGTGCTCTCTGCTGGGGCTCCGGAAGTCGGGGGGGGGGTGGGATTGACAAGGCAGGAAGTCCTGGGCTGTAGCCCAGAAGTGGAGTCTGACCCTGGCACCATGTCCTGGCTGCTGCTGTGTCCACTGGTGCTGGGGCTAAGCCTGGCAGAGGGCACCCAGACCCCTAGCATCTATGATGATGGAGAGAGTACCGGGGGAGGTCATGGTGAGTGACTCTATGCCTTGAAGGGGTGGATCAGAAATGGAGCCACAGTGGAGTGGGTTTACCGCCTTAGGTACATAAGCCCTGAGCCTGTGGAGCTGGGCCATCCTTCCATTCACTAGCCGCAGGTTCCTGGGGGCTGGAGTGGGGACATTGAGGTACCCACAGTACCTGAGACTTGCAAGGTCACCCTCCCTGCAGCTTGTGTCCCCAAAAGCAGGGCAGGGCATGGGTTGATTGACACCCCCTCCCTCCCACAGAAGGCACTGTGAGTCCCACAGCTGGACTCAAGGAGTCGAAGTCCCCAGTCCAGCTTCACCCACGAGGCTTCCCAGGCAAGTTCTGTGCCAATGACAGTGACACATTGGAGCTCCCTGCCAGCTCTCAAGCGCTGCTGCTGGGGTGGGTACCCACGAGGCTGGTGCCTGCCCTCTATGGGCTGGTGGTGGCTGTGGGGCTGCCGGCTAATGGACTGGCGCTATGGGTGCTGGCCACACGGGTACCCCGCCTGCCATCTACTGTTCTGCTTATGAACCTTGCAGTTGCGGACCTGCTACTGGCCCTGGTGCTGCCACCACGTCTGGCCTATCACCTGCGTGGCCAGCACTGGCCCTTTGGGGAGGCTGCCTGCCGAATGGCCACAGCTGCCCTCTATGGCCACATGTACGGCTCAGTGTTGCTGCTGGCTGCAGTCAGCCTGGACCGGTACCTGGCCCTGGTGCATCCTCTGCGAGCTCGTGTGCTGCGTGGCCGGCGCCTGACCATGGGGCTCTGTTCAGTGGCCTGGCTCTCAGCAGCCACCCTGGCCCTGCCTCTCACTTTGCAGCGGCAGACTTTCCAACTGGCTGGCTCTGATCGAATGCTGTGCCATGATGCATTGCCTCTGGCTGAGCAGACCTCCCACTGGCGACCTGCCTTCACCTGCCTGGCTGTCCTGGGCTGCTTCCTGCCACTGCTGGTCATGGGACTGTGCTATGGAGCCACCCTGCATGCACTGGCAGCCAGTGGCCAGCGCTACAGCCATGCACTCAGACTGACAGCCCTGGTGCTGACCTCAGCTGTGGCCTCTTTCACACCCAGCAATGTGCTGCTGGTGATGCACTATTCGAACCCGAGCCCCGAGGCCTGGGGCGACCTCTATGGAGCCTATGTGCCTAGCCTGGCACTCAGCACCCTCAACAGCTGTGTGGACCCTTTTATCTACTACTATGTATCCCACGAGTTCAGGGACAAGGTACGGGCCATATTGTGTCGCCAGCCAGACATGAACAGCTCCTCCCAGGCTTCCAGGGAGGTGGGAAGCCGAGGGACTGCCATTTGCTCCTCTACACTTCTGTGACAGGTATCTGAGGTGGGAAGGGGCACTCAGAGCAGACTGGACCTTTCCTTAAATACATCCCTTCTGAACCCTCAGGATGTGACCTTATTTGGAAGCAGAGTTGTTGTAACCGTCAGTAGTGGAGCTGAGGTCCATAGAAGGGTGGTGGACAAATTCCTTGTAAAAGAGGAGCGGTGGGCGCCAGTGCGGCACACCTGTTATACCAGCACTAAGGAGGTGGAAGGAAGAGGATCAGGAGCTTAGGGTTATCTCTGACTCCATAGTGAATTCTGAGCTAGCCCGGGCTATGTGAAACCCTGTCCTTAAAAAAAAAAAAAAAATACAGTAACAGAGCACAAGAACGTGTGGCTATGAAGACAGAGAAGAGTGGCAAGGCCACAAGCCAAGGGCACTAAAACCAGAAGTGAGACAGTCTCTCCCTCAAAGCCTCAGAGCCAATCCTGGACACCCTGATCTTGTCAAGGAGCCTTTCAGAACTTGAGACGATAAACCTCAAACCTTTGTGCTCTGTATATGTGTGTCTTTATGGTATAGGTGTGTGTGCATGCATGCATAAGCCTGTGGGTACATGAGGAGGTCATAGGATGACAGGTGCCTCCTTACTCAATTCCTTCTCTACCTTTAACATATTTTAAAACTTATTTTATGGCTGGGTGGTGGTTGGTGGCACACAACTTTAATCCCAGCACTTGGGAGGCAGAGGCAGGCAGATAGTTCAAGGTCTGGTCTACATGGTGAGTTCCAGGACAGCCAGGGCTATACAGAGAAACCCTGTCTCGAAAAACAAACAAAAAAATTATTGTGTGTGTGTGTGTGTGTTCTGCCAGCATTCATGTCTGTTCACTACATGTGTGTCCAGTACCCAAAAAGGTCCTAAGAGGGTGTCAGATCCCCTGGAACTGGAGTTACAAAAGGCTAGGAGCTGTCATGTGGATGCTGGGGATGGATGGAATCCTGTTCTTCAACAAGAGCAGCAGACACTTTTAACTGCTGAACCATCTTGTCAGCCTCCACCTCAATTTTGGAGATCGGGTCTCTCGGCGGACCTGACGCTCATTGCCCGTGGCTAGGCTGGCCTGCCAGCAAGTCCCCAGAGGCTGCGGACTTTTGCACCACTCTTGGCTTTTACACAGCTCCTAGGGGTCCAGACTCAGGTGCTTATGTGTGCACAGCAAGTGCTACCCACTGAGTCAGCTTGCTTGGGTCCTTCATGGTACTCTGTTACATTTGTCCTAAGGTCTTGTAAGGGGTGACTGAAGATTCTTGGACCCACTGGCCACTCAGCTCTGCTCTTTGTGTCCCTGCACTTAACAATGTTTCTCACAGACAGAAAAGATGGCTCAGTGAGCAAAGTCAATTGCTGCCAAGCCTGAGAACCTGAGTTTGATTCCTGGACGTACATGGTCGGAGAGAACCCATTCCCACAATTTGTTCTCTGACTTTTACACATGTGCTGTGGCATGCACATGCATGACAGTCTCTTGTGTCTAAGGTTAGAGTCCTTTCCTCCCCAACCCCAAAGCTAACTGCAGGTGGAGAGATGGTTTCTCAGGTGACCAGCACTGTGCCTCTAAGTCATGTGTAGCCAGGCCCTGTGTGCAAACAGGCTTGTGCTCTTGGGACTAGCCCTACTTCTGTTGTTTGCTGAGGGCTGAAGATCACATGTGACTTTGGGGGTCAACTTGTACTTACTAGTGGCCTCTAAGGTAATAGACACAGGACTTCCACCTGGCTAGGAGTTGGTCCCTCCTGTGTAGATTACACAGACTTCCCAAGCTGCAGCAGCCTTGGGCCTTAGCCTTTCAAGTGTGTGGGGTCTCTGGGGGTCATGGTATTAAGTTGGGGTGTACTGTGAGAGGGTTCTGCTGACTAGCTTGTTCTTGGACCAGTACAGAACTACAATAGCTGTGGGTACAACCTGGCGTCTTACTCTAGGACCTTACTGCAGGTGTTGGAGGTGGAGGCTGGTGGCCCCTGATTTGAAAAGACAGAGGACAGAAGGGGCACAGTTGCTAGGGAGGACAGCTAAATGGACATGGCAACTTTCAAACCTTTAGTTTGAGTGCACCCTGATGTTTAGAATCAGAATTCACTCAGACATTTGGAAGGTTTGATTATGTGCCTTAAGGAACCCATGGGATTACTACCAGACTGAGGCTTGAAGATGGTGAGAAAGGAGACTGACGCAGATCTGTCCCCAAACTGCCCTGACTCCGCTCAGGCCCAATCCTAGGCTTACCTTTCCATAGCCCCTTCCACCCTGTTCCTCCCTGCCTTGTCCTAACTGCTGTGTCTTCAGGACCTTGGCTGTTCCCTGCTTTGACTCCTGGTCTTTGATCCCAAGGGCAAACCTTTTCTGGAGTCAGAAGGGAGGTGTCATGGTTATGGAACTTTGGGCAGCAACAGTGGGTTCTACAAATGGACCAGGACCCTGCTTCACCTACCTGCACATGGAAATGAGCACACACCTGGGGTGAAAGGCTTATGTACTCATGACACTGAAGTGCATGTCTTAAAGGAGCAAAGTGACAACTGGTAGGGTGGAGAGTGAGGAACTAGGTGGAGAGCCTGAAGTTAGCAAATAAGTCCAGGACAGAGTGCTGGACGAACACACACACACACACAGACACACAGGCACACATAGACACACACACAGACACACAGAGGCACACTCACACACAGACACACAGACTCAGACACACACACACACACACACACACACACACACACACACACACACACAGAGGTGTTTTCTGTATTCAGTGAAAAGTACTTCTTTCTCTTCATTCACATCAGGAACAACCAGCCTGCTGGCACCAGCTGGAAGAGTCCTTGTGGGAGATCAGAGTGTCTCACCTCAGGGCCACCTTGTATTTCTGGTGATGCTGCCCAGCTGTTGGGTCATGGCAGTTGGGGACTGTCCCAGTCTAGTTATTATTGCACAATGACCAAAAGCAAAGCCTAAGGAGGAATGGGTCTATCTGGGTCACAGTCCATCATCAGGAGAGTCAAACAGAACCCTGGGAACAGGTGGCAGTTTGCCATCTGATGTGGGTGCTGGGAACTGAGTTCTAGCTCTCTGCTAGAGCAGCAAGCCTTCTTAACCAAGGAGCCATCCCTCCAGCCTTTTTTTGTTTTTCCTTTTTACTTTGTAGCTCAGGATGGATTTGAACATCCTCCTGTCTCAGCCTTCATTGAGATTTGCAGGAATGCACACTACATCTAGCCCCCACTGTGCCAGGTGGAGAACCTGAACCACACTGTCTAGTCTGGATACTCTCTCTAGGACACACTTCCAGTGGACTGTGTGGCATGAGCCAGCTGCTGCAGTTCTCTGAGCCAGTTCTGGGGAGGCCAGGCCTAGAGGGGAGCCACCTCCCCTGTGGGAACAGCATGGCCAGCTGTGCACTGCCTGACTGTATGACCTTCACAGGCACCTCTCTAAGATCTGGTTGGGATTGAAGGTGTGCACCATTATGCCTGGCCCAGTATGCTGTATGTTCTCTTCTAAAACCCATCCTCTGTCTCTGGCTGGAATTGAAGGTGTGCACCATCACTCCTGGTCCAGTATGCTGCATATTTTAGGAAACTATAGCAAGACAGATTGCGTGTTTGATTCAATTGCAATTTATTTTTTTTCAGTGATTGGGATTAAACAGAAGACCTTGCACATGCTAGGCAAGCCAACTCCCTGAGCTATACCCCAGCCCTCACTGGATTCTAAGCACAGCCTCTACCTTTGAGGCACACCACCATTCTTTTTTACATTTGTTTATTCAGTGTGTGTGTGTGTGTGTGTGTGTGTGTGTGTGTGTGTGTGTGTGAGAGAGAGAGAGAGAGAGAGAGAGAGAACACCCAAGTGTGAAGATTTGAGGACAACTTGGAGTCTATTTTGTGGTTCCAGGGATGAAACTCAGGTCATCAGATAATGGCAATGAGTTTCACCAGATGAGGCTTACTAGGCCTGCACATCAGTGTCCGCAACTCCCCTGCTGACCTTACTGTATGTGGGAATCCCAAGGGTGTTCAGTCACTGCCCACATCCTCCTGGCCTCTCCACGTTGGCCCTGCCTGCCATGTGTAAACAATGGTAATGCCTGTGGTTTGTGTTCCTGTGATCTCTGTGGGACACTTCAGAGCTGCACACAGACCTGTCCCACCAACCTGAGGTAGGGATTCCCAGAGCTTGAAGTCACAGGAACATATTGATGTGGTTTTCAGTTGAGCTTTGCATGTTGAGAGTAATTCTATGAAGATAATATAGGTGGGAACTTGGGTTGTCATATCGGCAGCACTGAGCAACCCAGCAAGCACTCCTCTAGGGCACCTGTGAGCTGATGTACACAACCCACTGACATGTTTTAGTTTTTGAATCAGCAAACATCTGCCTTTTGGAAACAGTCTGGAGGCTCTTAGGCTGTTATGCCTGCAGTCACAGGGACAGCGGCTGAAAAGAGGAAGGCAGGTGGTCCCTGGCTACAGCAGCCTCCAATCTCTCAGAGTCCACAGCATCCTTTGCAGCAGGAAGTCACACAAGTCATCTGAAAAATGAAGGGGAATACCAAAGTCCTCCACCCTGTTTGTTCCCCACCACGTCCCTGCATGAGACGGTCCCACTGTGCTATCCATGTTGGTCTCAGATTCATGACCTCAGGATCTACCAGCCTGAGCCTCCTCAGAGCTGACAGTCACCCCAGTGGCAAGTCTGCCTCCACCTCCATGTGCTGGGATGACAGGCAGGAACCATTTTGAGCTGAGTATGCAACTCAAGTGTTAGTGCATGGCAGGCAAGCACATTACCAACTAGCTATATGCCTAGCCCATTTTTAACTTTTGTTTTTTTGAGACAGGGTTTCCCTGTGTAACAGCCTTGGCTGTCCTGGAACTCGTTCTGTATACCAGGCTGGCCTCAAACTCACAGAGATCTGCCTGCCCCTGCCTCCCAAATGCTGGGATTAAAAGTCTGCACCATTTTTAACTTTTCAAGAGTCTTATGTTGCCCAGAATAGCCTCAAACTTACCAGAAGCTAAGGATAACCCTGAACTTTTTAAGACAGGGTCTTGCTGGGTGGTGGTGGTGGTTTAAGTCTTTAATCCCAGTCTTCATCAGTAGGCAGATCTGAGTTCTAGGTCAGCCAGGTCTACACAGTGAGTTACAGGAAAGCCAGGGCTGCAGAGAAACCTTGTATTGAACAAAAAAAAAAAAAAAAAAAAAAAAAAATGCAAAGCAAGCAAACACACATGCACACGCACCCAAACCAAAAACAAAGGAAGGGTCTTACTGTGTAGTGTAGCTCTGGCTGTCCTGGAACTCAGTAATCCAATAATCTATTTGCCTTTTCCTCCTGAGTACTAGAATTGAAGATGTGAGCAACAACTGTTGGCTCAGCCTGCGTTTCTTTAAAATTTTCTATTTATTGTGTATAGAGGTCAGAGGTCAACTTGGGTCTTTCCCAAGTATCCCAGAGATCAAAGTAAGGTTAGCAGACTTGGTAGCGGGCACCTTCACCACCTTTTCTGGCCCTAATGGATATTGAGAGTCTCAACCAAAATTCATCCATTAAAGACATGGTTCCCAGTGGAAAGGGAACCTTTTTTTTTTTTTTTTTTCCCCTTTGGCTCCCACATGATGCTCAGTACAGTTAAGGTGTTGGGGCTATCCATGACCTTAGACTGAAATCTCTGGAATCTTGAGGCAGAGTCAGCTTCAGTTTACAGTGTGTAAGGGTCAGAGTGTCAGTTCAGTCGCCATAACTCAAGTGAAAAAGCTGGCAGGGTGGTCTGTGCTCATGTTCCCTGCCCTTCAGAGGCACAGACAGGAGGACCCTGGGGCTCAGTGGCAGGCAGCTAGGAGAAGGATAGTATGGAGGGACAAATATGTGACACACAACCATCAGCATTTGTTCACTCATTTATTCATTCTCTGCAGACTAAACTGTCCTTGGACTCACTGAGATCCACCTGCCTCTGCCTCCCCAGTGTTGGGATTAAAGGTGGGTGCTGCCACACCCAGCCAATCAGAATTTAAAACAGCAAGGACAGAGGGCTGGGGACCTAGTAGTCATAAGTCACTCAGTTTCAGGACGCCAGGGCTCTGGAGAGAGACCCTGTCTCAAACAAACAAAAAACCCAACCAAAACCAAAAAATGTTAATGATGTCCCAATTGCAAAGTGCACAAAAGTTTCAGAAAACTGAATCACTGGAACTTCCTTCAGTCTTTGTGAACAAGGCAGGGATGGATGGAAAGTCAAAGGCACCTGGGAAATATTCACAAAGCAGCAGTACAGGCTGCCTGGGGCCACTCAGGGGTCAGGCCTGCATTGTGATTAGTCCTGTCCTGGGAGGGAACCGTGGTCCCTGAGGGCATCTGCACTGAAGTACCACTGGCTGCTGGTGGGGGTGGTTGGGGCCTCTTCCCAGACTTCCTGGCTTATCAAGGCTGCTTCTTTGCTGGCCTGGGAGGAAAGTTCTAGTACCTGGTCAACAATCCTGTGGACAGAAGAAAGAGAAGGGACAACTTTGTGGCTAAGAACTCTAAAGGAGCCCTTGGAAAAGCAAATTTTTTTTTGTTTTTCGAGACAGGGTTTCTCTGTGGCTTCAGAAGCTGTCTTGAACTCACAGAGATCTGCCTGCTTCTGCCTCCCTGGGATTAAAGGCGTGTACCACCAATACCCAGCAGAAAAGCAAACTTGTAAAAAGACCTTTATTTTGTTGTGTACAGCTTACCTGTGGAGGTCAAAGGAGTCTGGTCTCTCCTTCATGTAGGTCCTAGGGACTCAACTCAAGCCACCAGGCTTTGCTTGCTGAGCCATCTCAGGACCCTAATGGTCTCTTTGGAAGTAAGCAAGGGTTGTACAGCACGGTGGAATGTTTACACTGGCTGAAAACTTGGTGGGTATGTATGTGCACATGTGTGCATGTATGTGCCCATATGTTGCTAGAGACAGAACCAGGGCCTTGTGCATGCTGTGCAAGAACTGTGACTGATTTCCCTCCATTTCCAGCTCTCCCATTTTACTTCTTGAGACAGCATCCAAGTCCCCTAGGCTGACCCTGAACTGATGACCTTCCTGCCTTAGCTCCCAGTAGCTGAGATGACAAGCCTGTGCTCCCATGCCTAGCAGGCAAGAGTTGTATAGACAGGGTCTCACTATAATGCTGGCACCAGGAAGCCTTGAATGCATGCCTTTGTCCTCCTACCTCAAACTCCAGCTTATCTGGGACCTCAGTGGCATGCCCCCACACTCTGAAGAGTGGGCAAATTTTATGTGAAGAGCACTTGTTGGAGCCAGGCCAAATGTGAGACTGAGTCTATCACCACATGGCCATGGCCTCTGTTTGTCCCTTTAAGCAAGACCAGGTGGTGTCTGCAGACTTTAATAGTCTTCTAGGTGACAGAGGGCATGGGCCAAGTGTATGTACTGGGTGCATCTGTACTGCTTAGGATACTGACAGGAGAAACTGCTGGCCAGATAGTGGTTACAAGCATGAGTGAAACAAAGGCCCCATGCTTTGCTTCCTGTGAGTGATGGCTGACCTATCCTGAGGGACAGTGCTGAGTGCAGTGTGCTTCAGAGTCCCTGAAAAGTCCTTTAGGCATCTCCTTAAATTCATTTAGCATTGTGAGAGCAGATGAAGCAAGATTCTTTTGGGGTTGCCAAATGGCTCAGTGGGTGAAGGTGCTTTCTGCCAAGCCTGCCTGATGCCCTCAGTTTGACTCCTGGGATCTACATAGTGGAAAGAGAACAGATCCCCAAAGCTGTCCTCTGACCTCCACAACTCATGCTCTGGTATGGACATGACCAAACACATACAAATAAATACTATAAAAAAAAAAAAAAAAAAAAAAAAAAAAAAAACGTTAAGAATTTGGTATGGTGGTGTATATGCCTGTCACTCTAGAACTCTACAAGCTGAGGCAGTGGATTGCTGCAACTCAAAGGCATACTGGGTTACACAGTGAGACTTTGTCTCAGAAAAACACAAAAATAACTGTCTCTTGAAATCCCAAAAGGTGGTGCATACTTTTAATCCCAGCACTCAGGAAGCAGAGGCAGATGGATCTTTGGAGTTTGAGGCCAGCCTGGTCTACAGAGTGAGTTCCAGGATAGCCAGGCCAAACAAAACCAATTAACCAACCCAAAACCCCAAAGCATTATGCTAAGCAGGATTCTGTATTCTGGACAATGTTTAACATGTGTTGAGCAACTGCCTGGCCCAGGAAAGGTTCTCTCTGTTCCCTGCTGACCCAGTGCTTCAATGTCTAGGGCATGAGGATGAGCATAAGATGCCTTCCCCTCCCATGGTGGTCTCAGGTCTCTATTGTCTCCAATCCTATTTTACTAGACTCTGGCATGGTATGAATCTATGGCTCCATTTTATCCAATACCCCAATATCTCAGAAATCAGAACCAGGCCAGAAGCTGAACAGCCACTAGGGCAGCACAGCCTGGCCACTTTGGCAGTGTGGTAACTGTGAGGAACTTAACAGCAAAGGCCCCCAAAGCAGGCTGCCCAGATAGGACCAGCTTTCACCTGAGATACCAGTTGGGTGGAGGGAGGAGGGATGGAGACAGAAGGGAGGCACAGAGAAGGACGGAGAGAGGAGGGGAGGAAGGGAGGGATGAAGGGAAAAGGGGGGAGGCACAGTCCACACCTGTGGAGCTCCAGGTCCTTTTTCCTGGTCAAGTTTCTGAGCTCCTCCAGCAGGCACAGATTCTGTACATTGGCATCCAGGGAGCAGATGCCCAGCTCACCCAGGAGCTGCAGGGTGGTCCTCAGGGCTGGCTGCAGATCATCTGTAGAGACACAGGCTGTAAGCAGGATTCTGGATCCCAAAGCAACAGCTGCTTGTGCTCTGTGGAGCTGACTTTTCTATCACACTCAGGGAGCTTCGAGGGGGTAGGGCAGAGGGACCTTAGTAGATCTCACTTGTCCCTGGTGAGTGCAAGCACCAAAGGCACTCTGGTAAGGGAAAGCCAGTGCTGAGTGTACAGGTGGCACCCTCATGACAGCTGCCCCAGGAGGGCTCCCTGTGGACCAAGGGAGCTGAGGCTTCAGGCTGCAAGCTGTTACTCTGCTCCCTCACTCTGTCCTTCTACTATGAACCGACAAGCACAATGCACCTGCCAGATGTGGTCTGGACCTGCACTTCCTGAGATTCTGGCATCTGCAGCAGCTGAGTGAAGTTATGTTGCTCTGATAGCCACAAGTGTCCCAGGCACAGGCTGGCACCACTGGCCTGTTCCCTGCACATGTCATCTTTGCCTCGCACAGTGCGCAGGACTGTGCTGGGTATGGCATGGCAGCTGTGGGCAGTCTGGTAGGATAGCTGCAGGTTCCAGGGACTTCCAGCTGTGAGGGCAGCAGCTTGGGGACTCAGTTGCCTGTGTCCTACACACACTGGGAAAGACATGGTTCCAGTACCACCCCAGGGTGGAGACACCTAGGTAGAATATGGTGCATGTGAGCCTTGGGACTCCTTTTCTACTGTGGCAATGCCATACAGCAAGGGTGTTCCTACCTAGAAGCTCCTGTCCACTTCCCTGCACGTGGATTGCCTGCACAGGCAGCTCATGTCGAGTGGTATCCAGAGCTGTGGCCAGTGTCTTGTATTGTTCCTTGAAACGCTCTGCCACGACCTGGAAAGGGCCCAGCAGCTCCATCTGCAGGCAGAAGGGGACACTGTAAGACAGCACCCACAGAGAACTATCTGCGGGATGGAATGGGCCTTGCATGTGCTAAGCCCTGCTCTGGCACTGCAAATCTCAGCCTCATGGTCAGCCTTCAACCTCTAGGTTTCCTGGCCACAGGAAAGTCACAAGATTGGAAGCTGGCTTTGGCAGCTGGTCCAAGGAAACAGGATCTCCTTTGACCAACCCTGGATGAGACAGCAGCTGATTTTCCTGCCATCAGAGCTGGCAGGTGCCAAGGCTTCTGCACACGTGTGGCAGACAGGTGTCCACACTAACATCAGGAGCCATAGCAGAGTGGGCAGAATACAAGTGGTGATACCCTGAGACTTGCTTCCTCATGCACCTCTGGCTTGAGGAGCACAGTCACACCCACCTGGGTATCTAGGATGGCAGCCAGGTCCTGATGTTTCTGCTGGAGCGTCAGCTGGCGCCGCAGCTCCAGCACCTGCCCTTGTAGCCTCTCCTTCTCGCGGCTTATGGCTGCCAACTCTTTTTCAGCCTTCTCCTCCAGCAGAGTCAGGTTGTTTTCTATCTGTGGGTGCATGATCAACTCAGGTGGGGTAGGATGCATGACAGAAGACACACTGGTGCTCCTGAGGCCCAGCTATGCTCACCTTTACAGACAGCAGGGAAAACAGCAGTGTCTGCGACTCCATCATGTCCATGGTTTTCTGGAGATCCTGCAGGGTTCCCAGTAAGCCATGTGACCTGGCTCTTCCAGGGATGGCAGAACCCCAACCTCTGTGTACTTTATAGGCTCAAACAGAAATAGTATCCATCCACAGGCCTGGGGATGGAGCCACGTCTCATTTTGCCCAAGAATTGTAATGGGTGTCCCCCCCCCACTCAGTATGTGGGCACACTGATCTGAGCAAGGACCCATGGGCACCATAGTCCTGGCCTCCATCCTGGAGGACTGGCTGCCTCTGTCCTGGAACTGCAGCTGCTGAGAGTCAGACCTACCCACTGCTCGCTACCCGTGCTCACCCGTCTCTTCTTGCGAAGGGTTCTGTTTTTCTGAGGAGTGGTACAGAACGTGGACTCGGCTTTCTTTGACACTGTCCTGTCTAGCTGGGGAGGCTTCCTGAACAAGCTTTTGTCTAAAATAAACCATTTCATTTACTTAAAAAAAGTTTTTCACTTGGTTTTTGGAGATGTAGTCCAGATTGGCCTAAGACTTAATCCTCCTACCCTAGCTGGGGCTTCAGGCTTGTGCCACTGTAAGTGGCCAAGAACATAACAGGTGCCTTTAGATTCATGACTGTTACAAGTAAAAGATGCCACCTTCCACCCCAGTACTCAGGCCCTCACACTATGACCGAAGCACTGCCTGGGACCTACACCTGCTGCCACCACCCTGCCTGGGACTTGTACTTGTTGCCTTCATCCTGCCTGAGACCTGCACCTGTTGCCACCGTCCTGCCTAGCAGGAGGGTCAGACCTGCACTGCCAGTTGGGAACACACTGGGACCAACAATCCCAAGCCTGGTGTGCATGAAAGGCACATGCTACTCTCATAGCAGTGAGTCAAACTGGCAACAAGGGCTGCCCAAGGCTGGGACCATCCTTACAAGCTCAGCCACAGAGGGGCTAAAAGAAACCACTTACCATTGATGGCTGAAAGGTCTAGGTCAGGTGGAGCTGTGCCATGTCCTTCCAGCATGGTGGATTGCAGGTCTCCTGTTCCTATCACTTGGCTGTCTTCTACCCAAAGAATACCATGGTCAGTACCAATGGAACCACACCCCTTGGTACAGTACTGCCCGAGGCCCCAAGGACTGTTTCTTACAGGGTATGTGGGCACTGGACTCGTGCTCTACAGCTAAGGTGAGGGGCTTCTCAGTCCTCTTGTCTTTGTCCACAGACTTACAGAACCATGAGCTCAATAAGCCCTTTTAAATGTCTTTTTTTTTTTTAAAAAAACTTTACATGTTTTTCTTTTATTTTTTTTAAAGGTTTATTCTATATACAGTGTTCTGCCTGCATGTATGTCTGTCTACATACCAGAAAACAGTACCAGATCTTATTACAGATGGTTGTGAGCCACCATGTGGGTGCTGGGAATTGAACTCAGGACCTCTGGAAGAGCAGCCAGTTCTCTTAACCTCTGAGCCATCTATCTCTCCAGGCCCCTAAAATATGCTGAGCCTTCTTTCTAGCCACAACAAACCTCTTCTCAGAAGAGCAAATTACTACCAATCATAATTTAGTGGCATACACCTTTAGTCCAGCTCAGGAACAGAGGCAGATGGATCTCTATAAGTTCCAGGACAGCTAGGGCCAGACAGTGTGACCTTGTCTCAAAAATAAACAAAAAAATCCTGCCAACTCCCCAGGCACAGGTATTCTGCTATAGCCATAGAAACAGACTAAAGGGCACCATGTGGAAATAGTCACATCCTTCCCCAGCTGGGCAAGCCCTGGGCTGACCATAACCCCCAAACCACAATTTGTAATTCCTAGATACAAACAAAAATCTATTCCAAATGGTGAGCCAAGAGAGGTGGGAGGGGCTCTATTTTAGTGCTTTTACAGCACTGCTGTGCATTGGTAAGAGTCAGGAAACTTCATTTTCTACAAAGTCAGATGGAGTAGTAGCAGTAGCCCTTCCATGGTCCTGTGCTCAAGGCCCAACCCAGCACTCAGGAATTCAGGGCTATCCTCAGCTACAAGGCAACTTCTAGGCTAGTCTTGGGTATATGAATGAGTGTCAAAAAATGGGACGGTTTGGCTGGCTGGTTGGCTGGCCCATAAAGGTGCTTGCTTGCCCGGCAAGCCTGATGATGGATTTGATCCCTGGAACTTGAAGGAAGCTGAAAGGAGAGGACTCCACAGAACTGTCCTTTGATACCACATGTGCCAAGATACCAGGAACAATTACCAGTAATGACAAATGAAATAATAAAAAAAGTAGTTCATTAACTTTGATACTGCTGACCTCTGAGCTAGCTAGGGGCATCCTGTGCACAACGGGCTCAACCAGCAGCTGTGGCTCCATCCATCAAAGGCCAAAATTCAAATAAAATGTCTGCATATACCACTATTGAGCAAGAGTCACTGTAGCTGAGCACCCTGTTAAAATCCAGGCAGGTCCTGGTTCCTGGCGGGCCCAGCTTCAAACATAGCCCTCACTCAGTCATATGAGGAAATCCTAGCTGGGGTTATGTTCTGCTCTTATTCCTGCCTGTGAAGAGAGAATATATTTTTATTTTTTTTTTTAGATAGGGTCTCAGGTAGCTCAGGCTAGCCTCAATCTCCCCATGTAGCCAAGGATGACCTTGAACTCCTGATCTTCCTGCCTTCACCTTCCAAGTGTCCAGATGTCAGAATTCCCACTGGCTGTAATTTCTGCAGAGCCCCTAACCCATCAGCAAGCAGCAGCTCTTGGCCTATCCCAGCCTGCTCCCTGGATCTGGGAATAGTTTTGTGGATATACGGCTGTGGCCTCAGACACTGCCCCTGCTCCCATCATAAATACTTGAACCACATTCTTCTTGACAGAGACCCATGGTGACACAATCTAGGATCACCTGGTAATGAGGGACTGCTTGGATCAGGCTGGTCTGTGGGCATGTCTTTGAGGGGTTGTCTTGATTGTCAAGGGGAGGCCTGGCAGTACCTTCCCTGATCCCAGAGTCCCATCTCCCCAGCCCCAGCTGGGCCCCACCTTTGCTCCTTGGCAGTAAGCTGGCCTTCCTTCCCTCAGGTAGCTTCCCTCCAGTTGATACAGAACCCTGTTACGGGAACAGTCAGAGGTCAGGTCACCTTCCCTTTGATGCATCTGCTTAGAGGTCAGAGGGAGATGCTGGGAGTTTTAGAACTGTATATACAGGACAAGAAGATTTGGTTACAAACAGTGGAAAGTTACATGCATTACACATAGGGGAATAAGGCATGGGTGCCCGACTACCTTTACACTCAGGCACCTTGATGGGCCTGTGTTTCTGTGTGCTGTGTAGGCACCACAACTGACTTCTTATAGTATTCTCAGGATACTTTCTACACACACTTAAGGAGATACCAACATTTCTTCACTGGCTAAAGTCTTCAACGATTAATAATAGCAATAAGCACCACCACAAGCAAAAGTAGGTGCCAGGGGTGGGAGGGAGAACTGTGGTTGGAATGTTAAAAAAAAAAAAAAAAAAAAGTGGGTACCAGACTGCCAGTTACCACAGATAAAGCAAGGAGGAGCATACTGTGGATGGTGTTATGGTTCATGCCTTCTCATTCACCCCTGGTAGCCTTGCCTATTGACTATTGAAAATATCACACAGGAAGTTCCAGAAGTGAATGCCACCGAAGTTGGATATTCCACGCCATTCTGGGTGAGATGGCAAAAATCTCCCATCCCAGCTGTGCCTGTGACCCTCACCAAATGCCCACTGCCAGTGCCAGTCACTCAGGAGCCACCTGGGTTATGGAGGGGATAGTGCTAGAGGACAGATTTGACAGAATAGAGGCCCCAAAAGCAAAAGGCGTAGAGAAGGAGGCACAGGCCCATAATATGGAGACTAACACTGATACCATTCTTGCCAGAGACTCGTGACTGTGCCTGCAGAAGAGGCTGCCTAGGTACCTGGCAAAGGGCCCCAAAGGTGTCCTCCAGGATCTGGCTCTAAATGCCATGTGCCCTCCATTCCCATCAACTCACAGTGGCTCCAAAAGTAGAGGACTCCATTACTCTCTTAGTTTTCTTTTCATATTGCAGGTATCTGGACTCAACCACTCTTCCTCCTGCATGGACAGAGTGTTTGTTATAGAACACAAATGCACCTTTAATCCCAGCACTCAGGAGGCAGAGGCAGGTGGATCTCTGTGCTTTCAAGACCAGCCTGGTCTACAGAGTGAGTTCCAGAACAGCTAGGGCTACACAGAGAAACCCTGTCTCAAATGGGGGAAAAATTCTCACACTTGTTGCCTATTCTCCTGCCTGTTGTCCCTGTCTGCCCTTCACACACTTCTGCACCCTCTGATCACACAGTAGGACTTCACGATGGCCTTTCTCCTCAACTCAGGAGCCACCAGCAGCTTTGGGCTCAGGACTCCATACTCGTCTCTCCTTGAATGGTTGCTCCAGGCTGAGACAGGACTGAGGATATCTGCATGCTTGGCTTATGGCTAGCCTACAGCTGGATGTGGAGGCAGCACCTGACTGTGTTGCCCAGGCTGGCCTTACACTCCTGATCTCAGGAGATTCTCCTGCCTCGGCCTTCCAAGTATGATGACAGGAGTGTGTCACCATGCCAGCTAGAAAACAGGATCAATCAAAGACAGGGATCTGAGGCCCTGTCTACTTCCAACAGTGGGGACATCAAAGTTCTGAGTGTCCAATCATTTTGGACTATGTCTAATAGTGGGGTCTCCATGAAGACACTTGTCACCCTGAGGACATGGCTGTCTTAACAAAACCAGGCAGCATGCAAACATGTCAAAGTGTACAAACAAGAGTGCCAGGCTGGGGGCACTCAGTGTTAGGGTGACAGCCTGGCATGACGAGAGCCCAAGTTCCATTCCTGCCATAGCAGTAAACAGACATCTGCTAGGGAGGTAGCTCAATGGTTGGGTGCTTGCCTAGCCTATGTGAGCCTCCCTTTCCCCCAAAACCACATCAGGTCCAATATCACTGTTAGCACTGAGGGCCTAAGTTCAATCAGGACCCCTATGGAGAAATACTCCCCCAGGTTATCCTTGACCCCAACATGTATGCCATGCTTGTCCCCACCCACTCGCCAGTGTAATAAAAAAACAAACAAACAACATGGGGTCAAAAGTACTTGCTGCTCTTCCAGGGCACCTGAGTTTGTTTCCCAGCACCCACACTGGCAGCTTGCCAGGCTTTTGGATGGAACTTGGACATGTGGCCTTCCACCACCATAGCATGTCATCTGACAAGGAGTGCAGGTCTCACCTCCAGACTTATATCTTCAGGACTTCAACTCTCCAAAGGCCCACTGAAGTCAAATGACACCTCAGTGACAAGGAGAACCCCAAGTTCCCAAAGGCATGCCACTGAGCAGTAGAAGCTTCAGACTTGTTTCTTTCCCCTCCCCTCCAAGAAACCCTTTCATGAACTAGACGATGGAACATTTAACATCCCAGCATGAGGGAAGTTGAGGAAGGAGCATCAGGAGTTGACTGGCAAACTGGGCTCCATGAGATAGCTTCTCAGAAAACAGTCAGCATGAAGGTTCAGCATGTAAGGTGCTTGCTGCCCACCCAGCTCGATGGCCTGAGTTCAATGCCTGGGCCCTTACATGGAGGACAAATTGACGTCTAACTTCTACACTCATGATATGGCTTGCACATTCCTCCAATGAGATAAATACACAGGTGACAAAAATTAAACAAAAATCGTTAGTGAAGACAAACATTTTCCTTAAAGCACTTACCTTGCACTCTCCTTCCTTTTGTCTTGTGGGCACCAGGGGCTGTGGGTTTCCTGCAAGAGAGAGGAGAGAGATGTGTTGTTCATCCAGCTGCAAGAGCTGTGCAGTGGCCAGAGCCACGTTCTGCCAGATGGAGCTGGGCATGTGAGGACTGTCCAGGATAGGCAGGAGGTGGTGTGTCTACAGGAAGCTTCCTCCTGAAGGCAGTAGAACACTGCTACAGGCTAACCTCACTGCTAGGACACAGCAACAGAGCTCCCCCGAGGGCAAGATCTCTGTCTCAGCAGACTGGTGTGACAATAGCCATAGGTGTGAGGGCTTAGGGATGGAACCTAGTATTTTCAAGGCCACACAAGCACACAACTGAAGGAAGGCAGGAGGGAAAAGCCCTGCAATGGAACGCTCCCTTTATCTACAGTGGCAGGATGGGGGAGGGGGCTATGACACAGCCATTCTCATCAAAGGGTCAGTTTTCTAGGCTCCATGGTCACTGTTATGACCACCAACTAATCAACTTTGCTATTCTAGTACCAGGGCTGACACAATGGGTGGACCATGTGGCAACAAAACTTTACTGATAAAGCACATTTGGATTCACACAACATTCACATGTCATAAAATAGTACATTAATGGAATACATTAATACTGCATCTTTTTTTTTTTTTTTTTTTTTTTTTTTTTTGTGGCTTCTGGGGACCCAAACTCAGGTTGCTGAGCTTGTTCAGTGAGTAATAACAACCCCTCACCCCACCCCACCCAGACACACAGGGTCTCATGCCACAGCCCAGCCTGGGCCAGAACTCATCACCTTCCTGCCAGGGCTGGACAGATGGTTCACAGGTTAAAGAGAGCTTAAGACTTGAGTTTCAGTCCCAGGTAGGTGGCTCACAACCGCTCCAGCTCTGGGGATCCCAAACCTCTGCTGCCCACACACGAGCACACCTACAAGCATGGAAGTTAAAAGCAGGGCTGGGGGCTCCTGGTGTTGGCTGCTCCCTGCAGCCTACAGATGGTGGGGCTCAGCCATAGGAAGCAGGGGAAAGGAAGCATCGCTGCCAGAGGCCAATTATGGGTGTGCACCCTGGGCCTGGAGAGTACATAGTCCTGCAGCTTGACAAAAGGGCAGGTGCCCCAGGGCCTGCCTATCAGTCATGGATGCTTCAGCAACATGTCCTGTCCTGTGTCCACCACCACCCCCTTTCAGAGTTGGAAGTCTGAGGTGCAGTGGTGTCCAGGAGGCTCCATCCACAGGCCTCTTCTCTTTAGCACTTAAATGTTCTAAATTTAATGTAATGTGTGGTGCTCACGTGACCTGACATGTACACGGAGGGCAGGGAACAACTTATGTAGTCCTGTCTTCTTTTATCACATGGGACCTGGGAATCCTGAGGTCATGAGACTTGGCTACACAGAAAAACACTGTCTCAAAAAAGAAAAAAAAAAAAATTCTTCTTTCTTTATTGGGTTTTTGATTTGAGATAGGGTCTCACTGTGTAGCCCTGGATGTCCTGGAACTCCCTCTGTCCACCAGGCTGGCCTCAAACTCAAGAGATCCGCCTGCCTCTGCCTTCTGAACACTGGGATTAATGGTGTGTGTCATCATGATAAATTAAAAAATAATTTGTGTGTGTGTGTGTGTATATACATAAGCATGTCCATCTGTGTGTATGCTACAGTGTGTGTAGGTTGCCCACAGAAGCTAGAAGGAAGCATCAGATCTCTTGGAGCAGGAGTTACATGCAGCTGTGAGCCCCAAACATAGGTCCTGTGAACTGAAGTCAGGTCCTCCACAAGTAAGTGCTCTTAACCATTGAACCAGCTCTCCAGCCCCTCTATTAGTTTTACTTCACACATTCTCTCTCTCTCTCTCTCTCTCTCTCTCTCTCTCTCTCTCTCTCTCACACACACACACACACACACACACACACACAACCTTACTGTTAGAATCTTCCTATTTACTTTGTCAAGTAAAGAAAGTTGGTCTGGGGCTAGGTGTGGTGGTGCAAGCCTATAATTGGCAGAGGCAGAGGCAGCTGGGACAAGGGTCTAACTGAAGTGCCTATTTAACTTATCAAAGGAGATGCTGGTTGTCATGTTCTTCCAGCATCTCTCTCCTGGCATCCCAAGTACCTGTTACAGTCATTCTAGCTGCATACCCTGCCCCTAACCTACATCTCTCCAGCCCCCAAACTTCATTTTCCTTCCCCCAGCTTCTCTTCTCTGTACACCTCAGCCATTTTGTCTACTTGGCCTCTTGGTTCCCAGGTGCTCTCTTTGCTCCCTCTCTCCACCCCTCTCTCTTCTCTCCAGGCCTGGAGAGAAAGACAGTTCAGTCTGGATTCTTCCAGATGCCTCTGGCTGTACTTCCTCTCATATACAATAAACCTACTCCTCGACCACACCTTGGAGCAGCCACGTCCTCACTTCTCATTCAGATCTCTGTGCTCTGTGAGCTGGAGGCAGGCCTGGTCTCCACAGAGAGTTCTGTGAAAGTCAGGGGTACAAAGTGAGATCTTGTCTCAAAGATAAAAAGAAAACAGCCAGGTGGTGGCAGTGCATGCCTTTATTCCCAGCGCTCAGGAGGGAGAGGAAGGCGGATCTTTGTGGGTTCCAAGCCAGCCTGGTTTACAGAGTTAGTTCCAGAACAGGCTCCAAAGCCACAGAGAAACCCTGTCTGGAAAACAAACAATCTCCACCCCACAACAAAATCAAAGCTGGTTTCTTTGAGACAGGACCTCAGGTAGGTAACTCTGGTTGTACTTGAACTCTGGAACACCTCCACCTGAGCCCTGTGCTGACAAACATGCTTCACTACATCTGCCTATAGTGGGATGGGAGAGTTTCTTGACCTTGAGTACATGTGGGTGCCATTAGCATCAACCCGCCCAGGTGTACACTTTTGTCAATTTCCAGACATTACTCTCAAGCAATTATTTCATAACTCCCCGACTCTTCTCAGAGTGGCACAAAACTCTTTTCAGGAAAGAAGGAAACCTGAATTTTAAAAAGAAACGGTCGAGGCTCCAATAATTCCCAAGCCCACTAACAAGGATGAACCCTGGCAGTGCAATGCGGCAGTAAACTGGTCACAGCGGGTGGTGGTGCCTCACACTTGTCATCCCAGCATTCGGAGGATCTGGAGTTTAAGGCTATCATTGGCTACACAGAGTTCAAAGTCGAATCTGGGCTACCAAAATAGAACAAGCCTCACACAAAACCCAGGAGACTGAGCGCACCCCAGACGCAAAAGCTACGCACTCTGAGGCTAAGCCACCTGCCGCCAACACCAAAGTCCCACGCACAATACAACTCTGGGCCGCGTCTGGGACCCCGGCCCCAGACAGAGCACGCACATTAGCTGCTCAGAGCCCGGGCCTCCAGTCTGGGAGGGACTTGGGAAGTCGCTCTAAGGATCCTCAGCTACCCGTCAGCCCAGGCTCTGGCCCTTGGGCCAGACCTCCGATGTCCCCACATTCGACCCTGCTGCACTCTAACTCACCCCGCGCCCCACTTCGAGGAGTCCGCCATTTTCCCGCCTTCCACTCAAAGAGGAGCTTCTCAGGGTCCCGCCCGCTAGGAGGCAGGGAGGACGCGTAGCGTCGCGACGGGAGGGTGTTCTCTGCACGGAGCGTGCCGGGTGTACACCTAATTCGCTCGCACTAGGTTCGTATCGCCCGGCAAGGAGCGGTGTGAGCGGGCGTGGCTTCAAGACTTCTCTCAGAGGCGCCGGCTTCCGGCCCCACTCGGAGCCCGCTAAAAGCTAGAGTCGCGAGCGGGAGGAGGCGGGGCTATCGCAGCGCCCCGCCTCTCTCAGCTCTCCGGAGCTCCGTAACAGGAACGCACCAACCGCAGGGGGCGTCCGTGATGTGTCCTCAGATGGGGCGTGGTCTCTAGGCGCCCCGCCTCTCCGACGCGCTGGCGCCCCGCCTCTCCGTCGTGCTGGCGCCCCGCCCTCTCAGCCTCTCCGGAACCCGGAAGTGGGAGCGCGCGGGGGAGCGGCGGGTGAGGCGAGTCGGGGCGGGGCGGCCTGGAGCAGCGGACCGGCTGGCGGGCGTCGGGGCGGGGAGCCGTCCCGGGACCCGCGGCGCGCGGCGGCCGAGGTTCAGGTGAGTTCTTGCGGCGGCCGTGAGCGGAGACCAGAACTGGTGTTGGTACAGGGGTTCCGGGGCGCGAGGCGGGACGCGCGCGGCCTGGGGATCGCGGGGAGACTAATGGGGGCGAGGCTGGCGGGCTTACGGGGGCTCGACGGCGCCTTTGAGCGGCGGCTGTGGAGAGGATGTGGCTGAGGTGGCAACTGGGGGGTCTCAGGAAACCCGGGAGGCTGCGGAGGCGGAGCCGAGGGCCCAGGCTAGGGAAAAAGGCGAGGTTCTCCGGGTGCTCAGAGAACGAGATTAGGTTTGTGGCAGCCCGCTATTAGGAGTGGAGCGTGCAAAGATGGGCCTGGAAAGCCACTCAAGAACAGCTCCCCTGAGGAAGGGAGAAGAGGAGGAAAGAGCTCCAGCGACCCGGGAAATGACAGGGTGCAGCCTCTGGAGGCTCGCCCCCGCCTTCCCCTTCTTGATTCATCTTCTTCCTGACTTCACACCCCGACAGCTGGGTGATCCGCCAGGGCGAGCCCCAGCGCTCTCTGGGTCTGTCTGTCTCTGCCTTGGGACGCGCATCACTTTCCGCTCAAGAAAGGACTTAGCTGAATTCTAGGGGAGATAGGGAGAAGCTCTGACAGTCTGAACTGCGGTTCAGAAGGAAAGGAGCTGCGTAGGGTGGAAGCCACTCTCTCAAGAGAGTCGCATCCTTGGACTTAAATGGGTAAAAAACGACATACAGGAAATGTGTCCCCTGGCAGTGGTTGTGAGCTCAGCCCCAGGGAAGCACAGCTGCCAGCAAGCCCTCCCTTCTTTTTCTGGGGGAACCCCTAGCCCTAGGGCTTCATAGGGGAGGCCTCTGTCTCGGGTGCCAGCACTTAATGACATCCACTTTGCAGCTCCTCATGTCCCAGCTCCTTCCTTATTGTCTGGTCTTTGAGACTCCAGATTCTTAAGGTGTCCTGTAATAGCTAGCTGTAGGTGGCATGTAAAGTTGTTGTCACAGGCCCATCTGCCTAGTTTTGATTGGCCTGACTTTCTTCTTTCCCCTCCATCATTGCCAGGATCCCTGTCTGTTGTGTGCTTGTAGAAGAGAAGCCAGGTTTAGAGCTCCATTTGGTACAGGAATCTGAATATAAAGAAAGACTCAGAGACATGACTGCCCTAGTCACTTCCAGTATGTTCTGGAAGAAAGCTTTCAGCTTAGCTTGCCTCAGGGCACACTGCCCAGTCAAGAGACTGCTAGGGTCTGGAGACCCTAGGAAGGACTTGAATCTTCCTATGCCATGACCATGTGCTTTTCTCTGTACACTCAGAACATGTGACTCAGTGGGGGTCTTCTGGAAGACGTGTCTGATGTTCTGTGCAAGACTCTCTGCCTGTTTCCTCCTCTGCAAAGTGACTGGATTGGCCTGTGTCAGCCTTTTTCAAGAGCTAACACCACTTATTAACTTTCGTGTCTCTGATATATACCCTTTGGTTTTATGCAGCCCTGACTTTTCTATGTCTCCTGCCCTACAATCCTGGGCATGGAACTTAGAGGCTTATGCAGGCACACTGGGTAAGTGTTCCACCTTGGAGCCACACCCCCAGCCAGCTGTCCATTATGCTTCTTGCATGGAGTGTAAAGCTGTGGCTTTCACCTCCTCAAGTCTAGCTGTGACTGTGTGGGTCAGGTAGGGACTCAAGACTCCTGGCTTGATACCCTTCCTGACAAGTGACCATGAAATTGTGGCTTTCCTTGTCTTGTCTCTCTGGAGTGGCATGTACTGGATGGGTCCAAAGTCTAACTGAGCAAAAGCTGGTTGTGCCAAGTGCTTGCTGCTTCCTGAGAGCAGAACTGAGATCTTCTTGTGCCTCAGAGGGACAACTACTGTCCCTTTACATAGAATAATATTCCCAGTCAGGCAGGTCCTCACAATGACAGGTGGCATGGGTTATCACAGAGCGAGAGCGAGGTTTAGGATGAGGGGAGTCTGTTATCTTTCCTCAAAAGAGGTGGCTGACCCCAGCCAAACATGGAAAGCCATGTCAGTGATGAACCCCCAGTGACAGAAGACCCCATAGCTCTGCTTTTTGGTACATTTGGTACGACCCCTGCTTTTGTTTGTCTCAGGTGTCTTTTCCACTCAACCACCAAGGAGAGGGTCTTTGTTCCTATTTTCCCAAAATGAACTCAGGCAGGTCTGGTTTGGAGATGGATCTTTAGCTTTCTAGAACCAGGAAGTATGATTGAGAAGCTAGGTTCATGCACTAGCTCTTATCACACACAAGGCACAGGCATCCCAGCACTTCAAGAGCATAAAGACAAGTAAGTCCTTGAACCCCAACCCTCTACAATAGCCCTTAATACAAACTTGGCTGTCAAACTATTCTTGTTTGGTGTGGGGTTCTGCTTTGCCCCCAGGACCATCTTGTCCTCCCTGAGATGCTGTAGTGTCCCAAGCTTGCATCATCATGAATGTGGTTAGCAAAGATGATGACAGTTTGTGTCATGTGGAGTTGGCCACATGGAATGAACCCAAGGTGAGAATAGATGCTGAGTGTGAAAATCTGGCTACAGTGCCCACTGGCCTTAGTGCTTCTCTAGGGCAGCTGCAGGATTGGGGGAGACCTTGGTTGCTAGATTCTGCTGGCAGTTGAGTAGGAGGAGGGATCACCCTCGAAGGACCAGGGCAAGTGGGCTAGCTGAGATAGCCTGGTGGGCACAGCAGGGCCATTGTCTCTCTTTTTCTTGTATCACCACTGACCTGGGTTTCTGGAGACTCTGTCCCAATCTGGGAACAAACTTACTTTTCTCGCAAGATTAGCTATACCAGACTCCATTCTTGGAGGTTGTCTGATTGCCATGCCTCTGATAAACTGCATTAACTCCTCCACGGCCCAGGTCCTTAAGGTGCTCATCCTTTCCCACACTGTTTAAGTTCTTTTGGGGGTGTGTGTGTCCTTTGCTGTTCCCTCTCTGCCTGCCTGTTCCTTTTGACTCCTTTTTTTACCAATGACCATAACACAGCTGCTTCACCTCAGTGTGGGAAGATCGTCTACTCTGGGGCTCATCCAACTGATGATTCTTTCTCTGATGTGCACACCTTCCCCCCTCCCCTGTGTTCCACCTGCTAGGCCTTTGTGTCTTTGAGGTCCCCAACCCAGCTGTGCCAGGCAGCCCCTGCCCGGCCCACCATTCAGCCTAGCCAAGGCGTGGCCTCCTCACAGAGCAAGACAGGCCCTTCTCTTCTGCCCTCGTGGTCCTGGAGGGGCAGAACAAAGGGCCTTGTCTTTGCATGGCTATCCACTTGGCTGGGAAAAGCCTCCATGATTAGGCATGTTAGAAAAATGCATCTGATGAGTTAGGGATCTGCTCATTTCCTAGTCAGGGATCCCTGAGAAGTGATTCAGGGGTTCATTCTGGAGGATTGTGGGGTGATGAATAAGCTGTCAGAGCTGACTCATTATGTAGATCCTGTCTGTGCTGGGTATCCTACGCACACATGTGTACATGTGAGATGGAGTCAAGCTAGAGATGAATCTGACAGGCTTTTATCTGCCACAGACTGAATGTGCAACCCACAGGGCTTCACTGTCAGAAGGGTGTGAAGGCCAGGAGTAAAGACCAAATACAGGCATGGCCACCTCATCTGGGGTTGCATGTAATCTACCCCAGGCTCATGGGTGACCCCATCTTCCCTCTTTGTCTCCTGTCATCTTCCTCTGAGTTTGTTCCTGTGTCCTACTTCATCCTTGGAGGACACCAGCCACACAGATGAAGGTCCATGCTGGGGACCTTGATTCATTTTAATTATCATTGTAAAGAACCTTATTTCCTGATAATAGTTGTCTTTAAAGACCAGGGGTCGGGAGCTTGGAGTGGCCTCATATGCAGTCCCAGCAGAATTGCCAAAGCAGAAAGATACTGAGTTTGAGACCAACCTGAGCTGTATAGCAAGAGTCTCAAGAACAAATAGGAAAAGAAAGTTTATAAGAACCCTGGGCTTTAAGAATGTAGGTCACTAGAAAATGGTGGGGCATTTTGCTTCTTTATGCTGGACCAGTGATAAACTTAGAGCTTTGGAGAGACAGATCATCCCTCCATGCTGTGTTCATCTAGTTTCTTCTCTGTTGAGTAAACATGTTAAGGAGTGGGTAAGTTGGTTGACCATGTCAACTCTGGAAAGCTCCCAGTGAGGGAATTTTTTGGACCCTCCTTTCTATGTTCATGGTGAGTCCAGAGAGGCTAGGATTCTTTCTGGAAGGAGCTGATTATCTTTGGGGACTTTTTTTGGGGGGGTGCCCAAACTGGCTTTGAACTCCCAGTTCTCCTGCCTCAGCATCTCAAATGCAGAATGATAGGTTTGAGCCACCACACCTGGCTTTCTTATGGGCTGTTTTAGAGTCCAGTTCTGAGCTGTGAGTGCTGGATAAGGGGCCAGGTGAAACATACAAACTGCACAGAATGGGTTGCCCTATTCTAGGCATTTCTCTGTCACAGAGAACAATACCCCAAAGCTACTCCATCATGGACCAGCTACTGTCTGGAAGGTTTTCAGAATCTTTCAGTGAGGAGAGGTGTTGATTGG